TTTTTTTTGAGACAGTCTCACTCCGTTATCCAGGCTGGAGGGCAGTGCCTCAATGTCGGCTCACTGCAACCTCCTCCTTCTGGATTTGAGCGATTCTCCTGCCTCAGCCTGCCAAGTAGCTGGGATTGCAGGGGCACGCCACCACACCCAGCTAATTTTTGTATTTTTAGTAGAGATGGGGCTGTGCCATGTTGGCTGGGCTGATCTTGAACTTCTGAGCTCAGGTGATCTGCCTGCCCCAGTCTACCAAAGTGCTGGGATTATGGCGCCTTAATAGACCCCTGTCCCTACTGCCACCACCAGCAAAAAGGGCTATAAGTACGTGTCGCCAAGCCCAAAGGCTTTCGTTGGCTGATGGTCACCATGACACGTCACCACATAATTCCTGACCCATCAGGTGCCTGTGCCTCACTTTTATCCTCAGCTCGTGGTGGGAGTGCCATCAGGAGAGGAAGCTCTAGTAATATGTTGCAGAGGGGTTGGGGTATTTGGTTTTATTCATTAAGCTTTCTGTCTAGGCCGATGAATTGGTCACAGCTGCTTGCCTCCGCATCCTCTCTGGGACAGTGGCTGCTGTCTGGATGGTGGCTGGGTTAGACCAGACATGGCTTAGAATCTTAGCGAATCTCTCAGAGAATCTTGCCCAGGGGTGTCCCCATGGTCTTCTCTTGATCTGAGCCTTCATAGCCTGAGTCACAGGGCCCATCCGTGTCCCCCTTTATAAGAGGATTGCTCAGGCCATTGCTGCATACGTTGTCAGCCATACCGCCCCCAGGTGTGTGCCACGGAGGAGACCCTTGAACTCAGTGCCCAGCACAGGTGGGCACACTATCACCCCTGAGCCAGGTGTGCTCCCTGCTTGCAGCGTTTTCCCAGGCAGACCTGTGCCCGCCTCTTAGAAGGGTATGGCTCTTGGGGTACTTGGGTGTGACTTAATTCTTCCCTTCTCCTTGCATTCTTTTGTGTCCCATTTTCCTCATTCACCTTTTTTTCATTTGATCTCATTTCATCATTTTAGCATCTTTTTACTGAGAGCCTGCTCTGTACCAGGTGATGTTCTGGACACTGTAAACATAGTGGTAGCTGGTCTTCAACAGGGTGTGCATTCTAGCGAGGGGAAATAATGAGCAGAAAGAAGTGCTAATTCCTTGGGAGGCGAGACAGGTGCTGGGGTAAAGCAGCCAGGGCTGGTGGGGATTGGAGAGGGTGGAGTCGTGTTATTTTATTTTCTGTGTATTTATGGAAGTTAAGATTTTTTTCCTGGAGCCAGATGGGATTACAAATCATTGTGTTTGTTGTTTGCGCCTTGACGTTTTCCTTCCTGGAACTCCTCTACTTTGAGAAGTGGTCAAGTGCCAGTGGCTTGTCTTAGACTCTTGGGTTCTAAATCCAGAGAGAGTGATCCTCACCCCAGGCGCACAGGCCCTTTCTCCCCTGCCTTTTTTCTGGGTCTGGCCGTTGTTCTCTGTGGGAGGCCTATGGAGGCAGTGGCCCCCCACTGGGCCCTTTTGGTGCTGCAAGGCCACCATGGGCTTCTCACTCCTGCACCCCTTTGGGACGGTATGTACATCAGAACAAGCCACAGACTTGTGGAGCAGGAGCGGATCGTAATCCTCAGACACAACCCTGAATGTTGTAATCCCGAATGTTGAAATCCCTAAAGATCAACACTTCCAACCTCTAAAATCCCAAAAATATAATACTGGAAAAAATAATTTTAAAATTCTTTTAAAAGATACACAGACATATTTCAAATAATACTTTACTAGGTAGGCTTCTAGGTATTCCTTAGTTCGGTCAAGTCGATGCTGAAAATTAAATTCACAAGTCCCCACCCCCACCACCATCAATGTGGCTCCCATAGGCATCTGCTTAACCCATGCAGACAGTAACAGCTCACAGTTCCTCACCTGGTGCGGCTGTCTTGTGATGATGATTTTCAGCATTTCAACACTCGGGGTTATGGCAGTTAGAATTGTGTCTTTTGGGATTCTGATGCAAACCCCCCATGGTTGAACAGCTTTATCGGCAGGTCGGTGACATTGCTAGGCCCATTGGTTCCCCCCAGCTCTTGGCCTCTGCTAAATTGACAGGGAGCTGAGAGGCCCCTGACAGGCTGGTCAGGGTGATGCGTATGGCTGTGTGAGGGGAACTGCGGCCACTTATCACAGTCCTCCTCACAGGAAGCCTGATATCAGGCTCAGCCTGGGCACTGAGTTCAAGGGTCTCCTCTGTGGCACACAACTAGGAGCGTTCTTTACCTAAACGTTTTCACCCATCTTCTTGAAAGATTGGTATCCTTGCTGTCTGTTTTTAGTAGAAACGTGACCGTGCTAGTGGTTTCCTCTCTTGGGTTTGCTGAAGGAGAGATGGAAGCATAATCATGTCCCTGAAACTCTGTCTCTGCGCTGGGGCAGCAGGCACTGTGGCTGTTGGCTCGTGCTCCAGCCCCTGGCACCACTGCGTGATGCCACATAGGGTGTCTCCTGTGGGCTAGAGCAGCTTCAGGCAGACTAGAAACCTGGCTGTGAATAAGGAATGTTGGCAGCTAATTCAGATCAGATCTTCCAAACAACAGGCCTGGGATGAAATAAACACATCTGTGGATTTGCTGTGCCCTCCGGGCCTTGGTTTCTACCTCTGGCTCTCATCATCCAGGTTCCCTTCCAGTCCATTCCATTCTTCTATGTTCAATTGTATTCTGTTCCAGTCCGTCTTGGTCATTTTCTCCTGTCTCTTGTCCACTGCCAATTGTAGACACTGAACTTTCAGTTCTTGATTTGTTTTTCATAATAATACCTGTTGGCAAATAGTTTATGTCATATACATGTGTTTTCACTTTCCGATTTTCAGTGGCCTGGGCCTCAGTGACATCTGTGTCCCTCTGAGCTACTCCTTCAGCCTTGTCAGTTTTTGTACTTCTTGGATACGATGGGATCAGTAGTGTTAGGAAAAGCCCTTAGAAGCTGAGGACAAATGCAGGCGCCATTGCTGAGGGATGCCTGGGCTTGCTGCTCCGTGCACCTTGGCTTTACAGCACTCAGGATCCATAGGCTTTTACTCCAGCATGGAGTAAAAAAAAAGATTTCTCAGATCTTTGAAAGTTCAGAAGTGGAGGAGCATCTGATAATGTATAAGACAGATCATGGGCATCTTCTGAGGCTGGGTGTGCAAGGCACCTCTAGCCCATGGCCATCTCAGCCTGTCGTCTTTCTGTCCGTAGACTGGAGCGCTGCTCAGCGCTTTCGTTCAGCTGTGCCACATTTCCACAACGCTGGCAGAGAAGACATGGATCCAGCTTTTCCCCAGATTATGGAAGATCCTCTCAGACAGACAGCAGCATGTGAGTGTATCTTTAAAATCCTGTTTTGGAAAAATGTCTTGATCAAGTTTTAGAGGTTGAGGAAACTGCTGGCTGTCACTCGAGTGAATTAGGAAAGGTATTCTTAGCTGCATTGAGAGAGACAGTGAGACGCTGATTTTTGAATGAAGGTGTGGATGACATGCGCTTTGGTTTCAGGCGCTCGCGGGCGAGATAAGTCCATTCCTGTGCAGCGGCAGTCACCAGGTGCAGCGAGACTGCCAGCCCAGTGCGCTGAACTGCTTCGTGGAAGCCATGTCCCAGTGCGTGCCCCCGATCCCCATCCGACCCTGTGTCCTGAAGTACCTGGGAAAAACACACAACCTCTGGTTCCGGTCCACGCTGATGCTGGAGCACCAGGCTTTTGAAAAGGGTCTGAGTCTTCAGATTAAGCCGAAGCAAACAACAGAGTTTTATGAGCAGGAGAGCATCACCCCACCTCAGCAGGTGAAGATGCGCCTCAGATTGTTCATTACCTCTTCCCTGCCAGTGGCCTCACACTTTAAATAAATACTGCTCCCAAATGATTTCAAATTACAACACGGTGAAGTTGCATTTTTAGGAAAAAAAAGTCTTTGTCCTGAGCACTGAGGAACCTTGCTTTGTGTTTTCAGGAGATACTGGATTCCCTTGCAGAGCTTTACTCCCTGTTACAAGAGGAAGATATGTGGGCCGGTCTGTGGCAGAAGCGGTGCAAGTACTCGGAGACGGCAACTGCAATTGCATACGAGCAGCATGGGTTCTTCGAGCAGGTAAACCTCCAGTAACTGCCTGGCTTGCATGTGCAGTGAGAGGCCATTTCTGATGATTTTTTAATAAAATCTTCTCAAGTCGGAGTTCACCTTTTTTATGAGATGGAGTCTCTCTCTGTCACCCAGACTGGAGTGCAGTGGCACAGTCTTGGCTCACTGCAGCCTCCACCTTCCGGGTTCAAGCAATTCTCCTGCCTCAGCCTCCCCAGTAGCTGGGACTACAGGCACCCACCATCATACCATGCCTGGCTAATTTTTGTGTTTTTGATAGAGATGGGGTTTCACCATGTTGGCCAGGCTGGTCTTGAACTCCTGGCATCAGGTGATACACCCACTTCAACCTCTCAAAGTGCTGGGATTATAGATATGAGCCACCGCGACCGGCCCAGAGTTCACATTTGAATATGCTTTAAAACATTTGAATCTGTAAAGGCCCTGTGACTGAAGTCTGCGTTTAAGAGACACTTCTGTATATGACATGAGCTAAAGCACAGTCTTAAGCCCTTTGCATTAGATGCCAGCGTGGATGCTTTTTATCTCCCGTCGTTGGTCCTGTTAGAAGTGATAGGTTTCGTTTAATGCTTACATTTTACTCCTCGTTCTGCCCTTCAGCATGGCGTGTGGGCCACTGTTTCAGGGTGTGATCCCAGCACTGTGTAGGGTGCCAAGCCACAGAAGCTCCACAAACAGACGTGGCCTTGTGGCTCCTGCTCCGATCACCAAAGGATGGGGGAATTAATCCCACATCTGGACAGCCTCCCCTTCTTCCATCTGTATAGGGAAACCTACCTTCTCTGTCTCTGTGAACAGAGAGCTGTGGGTGTTGAGTGGTCCTGGAGAAGAGCCCCACATGCTCTCAGGTCTGTGATTCAACTTGCTCTACACGACTGGGCCAAGGTGGTGAAAAGGTGTTTCTTAGCCAGCTGCAGGCTTGCACCTGCAGTTCAACGACTCAGAGAAGCTGAGGCAGGAGGGTCCCTTGAGCCCAGGAATTAGGAGTTTGAGTCTAGCTTTGGCAACATAGCAAAATCCCATCTCAAAAAACTTATTCTAAGTGTTAAATTTAAAAACAGAGAAAGAAAAGGTATGTTACTAGTTAAACAGTAGTTTAAAAGCCTTAACTTTTTTTAGGCACAAGAATCCTATGAAAAGGCAATGGATAAAGCCAAAAAAGAACACGAAAGGAGCAACGCCTCCCCTGCGATTTTCCCTGAATACCAGCTCTGGGAAGACCACTGGATTCGGTAAGCCAAACACGGTGCTTGACAAGAGGGAACCAAGGAAACATCTCAGACCTTTTCTTGGAATGAGTGTTGTTTAAAGGGAGCTTTGCTACTTTATGGCCATGTAAAGAAAAGAACAAACAGAAACCTAAGACCAGCATTTAAAGCCTTGAGTAATTAAACATGTCGACTGGAGAAGCAGTAAACTGTCCATGCATCTCCCCTGGCTCCAGTGCTTGAGGCCCTTTGCTGAAAAGCAGGTGTTTCGTGGTGGGCAGCGGGCAGGGAGCTCACCCCACGATGGAGCCCACCTCCATGTCCTGTAGAAGTTTGCTCTTGCTGTGTTGTTCTGTAGAATGGAAATTTGCTTCTTAAAACCCTGTCGCTGCCTCTCTGAATTCATGAGTGTGCTGGTGACTGAGCTTCTGCCCTTGGATATCTCTGGTCTTGTAGGTGCTCCAAGGAGTTGAACCAGTGGGAAGCCCTGACCGAGTATGGCCAGTCCAAAGGCCACATCAATCCCTACCTTGTCCTGGAGTGCGCCTGGCGGGTGTCCAACTGGACCGCCATGAAGGAGGCACTGGTACAGGTGAGACGCCCCAGGGGCATCCCTGCAGCTGCCTGGGTCCTCTTTCCTGAAGCGGCAGGTGTCTGTTGGGAAGATTTCCTTAGAACAAGCATTTTGGCAGTGGAAAGATAACTTGTGGAAAGGAAAGGTTCTTTTTGATTGTCTCCAGTGCCTTTCCTGAATTTGAGTAATATCGTTTTTGTACAAAATGTGAGAAGTTGAAGATTAGAAATAGTCACAGACTACTAACTAAAGGAAGGAATCAAGCCCAGGTTGTTGACTTCTGGGAAATGACACATTGGATGCAGGGAGTTTGTGTTCCCCTAAGAAATAACCAGTCACTTATATCAGTAAAAATACATTCTTCCCTCAGTATCTAGGACCCCCACAGATACCAAAACCCACGGATACTCAAGTCCCTGATAGAAAATTGTGCGTGTAGTATTTGCATGTAATTTCTGCACGGCCTCCTGCATTCTTTAAATCCTGTCTAGGTTACTTAAAATACCTAATATGGTCTTAATTGCTGTGTACATGGTTGTTACACTGTAGTTTTTAGGGAATAATGACAAGAAAAGCTCTGTACATGCTTAGTAAAGATGCAGTTTTTTTTCCCTGGATATTTTTTATCCACAGTTGGTTGAATCCACACATAATACGGAGGACCAGTTATATATATTTTGCTGTCAGAATGCATTTACGATTACTTATTTTTCTTTATTCTGACAAAACGTAAAACTGAGTAAGTGTTGGTAGCTCACCTTAACGTTCCCCTCCGTTCTCCTTCCCAGAGTTTCACTTACCTGAGTATATGCAGCGTCACACTGTCCTGAGGACTCAGACACATTTCTGCTTTCATAAATTCTTGAGCATTTTACAAAAACTGTAAGGTACTCACTGCTTAGAAAAAAGCTCAGATATGTGAGTGAACACTCTAGGTAATCTGCACTGAATTACTTTCAAATAGTCTTAAAAGGAAAAGGATGTTTAGGCAGTCTTTTCTGGATACTCTGCTTTTCTAAATTCTAGTGAGTGGCCAATCTCCCTAGCTGTGAAAGCATACCACAGGCCCTTGGCTTTATGGTCATTAGCTGTTTGAAAAGAAAAAAAGAGACTGATCAACGCTGTTGTGACAGATCAGATGAAAAAAATCACCACTCTGCTACAAAGTCAGCCAGCATTTTTTTTTTTTTTTTTTTTTAAATGGAGTCTTGCTCTGTCACCCAGGAAGTACAGTGGTGTGATCTTGGCTCGCTGCAATCTCTACCTCCCATGTTCAAGCAACTGTCCTGCCTCAACCTTCCGAGTAGCTGGGATTATAGGTGCCCACCACCATGCCCAGCTAATTTTTATATTATTAGTAGAGACGGGGTTTAACCATGTTGGCCAGACTTCTAAAGAAAATACCTTTCTCTCTATAACCTAATTTCTGTTTATTGCCTTGCATAACTAGTGACCAAAAAACAAGTGGTCTTTTTCCTTTTTGACCCTTTACACTGAGGAAGAGAAGGCCCCTCACTCCCTGTGTCATGTTCTTTCACGGCCAGGTGGAAGTGAGCTGTCCGAAGGAGATGGCCTGGAAGGTGAACATGTACCGCGGATACCTGGCCATCTGCCACCCCGAGGAGCAGCAGCTCAGCTTCATCGAGCGCCTGGTGGAGATGGCCAGCAGCCTGGCCATCCGCGAGTGGCGGCGGCTGCCCCACGTGGTGTCCCACGTGCACACGCCTCTCCTGCAGGTGGGTGTGGCACCCCCGTGTGAGCACAGGCTGTGGCCCGTCGCAGCCAAGCACCGTTGTCCAGGTTGAGATCTGCAGACGGCAGATGAAACTCCCTCCCCTTGTCTTGCCCTCTCCCACATAACTCGTCCTCAGGAAAGGAAGGCCACCGTTAAAAGCTTGAGGAAAAAAATGTTGCTTCTCGTTGGAGTTTCTGTAGGAATTGAAGACATCCTCACCAGTGATTTGGGTTTTGAATTTTGCCAGAGAGATTCTTTTCAGTGCCCACTGTGCCACCCTCAGAAAAGTTTGCTGAAAATATCACGCCACTCTGTTTTCAGCAAGCTTTTGGCGGGAGCTGGAGGGATAAGATTAGGAAATGTTTTCAGAGATCTGAATGTCATGAGTTAAACTTGAAATATAAATAGCACAGATTTTTCTAGGCAATTTAAAAAATTATAATCAAACAGGATACAGAGTACTGAACTAGGTGCTATGTTTAGGAGATGAAAAAGCATTTTAAAGCAATAGAGTTTGCCTCAAAGGAGCATTGAACCTGAGACAGTAGGCATAACAGTATGCATAACCATAGAAGCAAATTTACAGTTGGAGGTAGACTATGATTCGGAGCCATGCCCATATCAGACAGAAAATCAGGGTAACAAAGATTGAGGGAAGGGAGATGCCATGTGCTCCATAGAAGCCAGGGACAAAATTTGGCTAGCCTGAGGATTGTGGCCAGGGCCTTCCAGGTGAGAGGTGTCATCAGGAGTTTGGTGCCGACAGTGTATCTGAAATTTAAGGGTAGTCAAGCTCCCGGGCTCGTAGGGTGGTGACTCAAAATGTGTTTACATTTTATGGGTCCAAAGAGGTCATGAGAGCCACGTTTGCAGGTGCTTAGTATGGCTGGGGGGCTTAGCAGGCACGCTGGGAGAAGGCAGGCCTGCTGCAGGGATACCTGGCTGCCCCGTTCTGAGGCATTGCTGGACAAAGAGCCGGACAGGGAAGGTGGCCAAGGGCATGGACAGCAGGAAGAGGGGTTTTGAGGACTGCCCACTAGTGAGGTTTGGTGTCTGGAACATTGTTCTCTCACCCTCCTGTCTCAGGAGCCACAAGCTGAGGTTTTAAAATTGGAGACATCATAAGGAAAGCAGTGTTTGGGATAAAGAATAGGTTAAATGTGGGATCTCAGGTGTCTGTGTGTAAACGAGAATGCTTCCTTTGGTAATCGCCCCTAAAGATCTTTGCGGTAATCAGACCCCTGGTGGACTCACCTGTGTTTTTCCCGTTTACTCTTCACTGACATTTACCGTGGAATCTCTTATGTTGGTCCCATCAGGCAGCCCAGCAAATCATCGAACTTCAGGAAGCTGCACAGATCAACGCAGGCTTGCAGCCGACCAACCTGGGGAGGAACAACAGCCTGCACGACATGAAGACAGTGGTGAAGACCTGGAGGAACCGGCTGCCCATTGTGTCTGATGACTTGTCCCACTGGAGCAGCATCTTCATGTGGAGGCAGCATCATTACCAGGGTAAACCGACCTGGTCCGGCATGCATTCATCATGTAATTTTCCAGACGCCCCACGGTTCTGGTTTCGTCTCTGTGTTTTGTTTTGGTTTGGCTTTTCTTCCCCAGGTTTTCTATTTTGGGGTAGGGATGACAGGTCTGGGTGGTAACGGTGCAGGGAAAGATGAAGATGGTAGAAGGGAGGTTTTGTTTTTTGTTTTTGTACCTGCTAGATTTTTCTAGTTTGAGCAGAATTGCACAGGCCGGGGGGATCAGCGCTCTGAGCTGTGGCACTCTGCTTTGAAGCTCCTGTCCCAGGACAAGCTGTGCTCAGGTGGCTCTGGGTGGCCTTTTCTGGTTTCCCTTGTCCCCTGCTTATCCCCTAAACCTGCCCAGGCATCCATGTATTTAGAGCAGCCTTTGTCACTTTATGGTTTAGTTAGCCAAGATGGTAACACTCAACTCAAGAATTAGCACCTTTTAGAAGTTGCTTAAGTCATAAAATACAAAGTAACAAGAGTTTATCACAGAGGTCCCCATCTTCATAAGCCATGTGTGTGTGTTTTTCATTTTTATTTAAGCCTTGTTGTGGAGTGCTTTGAAAGAGGATTGGTGTGGGCTGATGATTCCTTTCTTTGCCCTCTAGCAATTGTAACTGCCTATGAGAATAGCTCTCAGCATGATCCAAGTTCAAATAATGCTATGCTTGGGGTTCATGCGTCAGCTTCAGCAATCATCCAGTATGGAAAGATCGCCCGGAAACAAGGACTGGTCAATGTGGCTCTGGATATATTAAGTCGGATTCATACTATTCCAACTGTTCCTATCGTGGATTGCTTCCAGAAGATTCGACAGCAAGTTAAATGCTACCTTCAGCTGGCAGGCGTCATGGGCAAAAACGAGTGCATGCAGGTGCGGACAGGACACTTGTCCCCACCCTTCCGCGGGGTCCAGGAGAACGAGTCCACGTGGGGACTCCTGGTTTAGATAATAGGGAAGGCGGATTCGAACTTCCTACAAATACAGCCGCAGTAAGGGGGAAACAGTCCTTCCAAAACATGAAAGGGAAAGGAAGCTACAGTATTTGACTGAATTACAGTCTCTTTTGGTCTCTCTCCTACCATATACTTAGTTAATGTATTTAAGGAAAGAAAAAAATTACACATTACAGAATTATGAGGACCTAAGATAGAGTTTGACTATGTCCAGAGGAATATTACTAAGAGCAGTAAAACCAACTAGATCTATAAAGCTTTGGAGTAAATAAGACCTAAGTATTTAAAATTAACTTTAGCATTAGTGATTCAGTTTAAATGCTGAACATCCATCAATAAATATTCATGGTAGGCAAATCCATTGTCAGTTTACACTCATCAGTGACTCATAAGACTTAATGCCTAGATTAGTATTTTTATGAAGTTTTCATACTCTTGTTAAAAAATTTCAGGAACTTTTTTTGTACTCTTTTTGAACAGGGCCTTGAAGTTATTGAATCTACGAACTTAAAATACTTCACAAAAGAGATGACAGCCGAATTTTATGCACTGAAGGGAATGTTCTTGGCTCAGATCAACAAGTATGTATGTTATATTAAAAGAGGATAATAGAAAAAAATGCATCAGATTATGTAAATAGTTATTGATAATCTGAAGCCAGTGTGAAGCTCAAGCTAGAAATTGCTGTGATTTATTGACAGTCATTAGATACGATTTTTTAGGTATTGAACCTCTGCAAAGACAGTAACTTGCAACAAATTGGTAAGCCTATTTGATGTGTAGTATTTTTTTTTTTTTTTTTTTTTTTTTTTTTTTTTTTTTTTTTGTAGTATTTTTAAAGCTTTTCTAAAATGAGCTGCGTGATCACAGAACTGCTGATAACATGGATTCATTCCCTGCCATTTACAGAGCTGATTCCTTTTGTGGAGATGATTCTTGCTTTAAGACCAGGGGTCGGTAAAGGATGACCTGGGGGCCACATCCAGCCACTGCCCTGTTTTTGTCAGTGAGTGGTACTAGGACCCATCTCTACCCACTGATGTTGCCTGTGACTGCTTTCGCCCTACTGCAGAGTCAAGGAGTTGTGATAGGAATTGTATGGCCTGCAAAGCCTAAACATTGGCTGTCTGGCCTATCACAGATAAGGTTGCCAAGCCCTGGTCTTGAAAAGTAAACATCAGAGGAGATTTTGTAAATAGCATGCAAATGAGGTAGACTGACAAGATGCTGCCTGTTGCCTTGTTTGTGTAGGCTCTAGAGCCTGCCTTTCACATCTTCAGTAGACAGGGCTTGTGTGTTTGGCTTATTTTTAAATTAGGAAGTCTTTTTTTGTAATGTTTTAAATTCATGTGACAGACATAACCATTTGAAAGTGTACAATTTAGTGGGTTTTAGCATATTTACAGTGTTATACAACCATCACCAGTAGCTAAGTCTAGAATATTTCCATCATCCCCAAAGTAAACCTCGTATCTGTTAGCATTCTCCTTTGTCCACTCCCCCTTTCTCTTGACAACCACTAATCTGCTTTCTGCCTCTATGGATTTGCTTATTCCGAACATTCATATAAATAGAAACATACACTATGTGGCCTTCTGTGACTGTCTTCTTTCACTTAGCAGGATGTTTTCATCCATGTGCTATCACGTATCAGTACCCCATTCCTTTTCATGGCTGAATAATATTCCATTGGCTATCCATACATTTTGTTTATCCATTCAGCAGTTGATGCACGTGGGGGTTCTTTTTGCTTTTTAGCTACATGAGTAATGCTGGTATAAACACTGAATACGTGGCTTCGTGTGAGCATGTTTGAGTTCTCTTGGGTATATACCTGGGGGCAGAATTGCTGGGGCATGCGGTACTTCTCTGTTTATCTTTTAGAGACATTGTCAGTCTTCCATAGTTGGCTGTACCATTTTGCATTCCCACCAGCGATGTTTAAGGTTTCTAATTTCTCCGCATCCTCACTGGCACATTTATCTGATTATAGCCATCCTAATTACTATAAAATATATTTCACTGTGGTTTTGAATTGCATTTTCCTAATGGCTGATGACACTGAGCTTCCTTTCTTGGTTTTTATTGTTAGTTTGTAATTCTTTGTATGTGTGGATAAAAGCTTCTTTCAGATACATGATTTCCAGGTATTTTCTCACATTCTGTGGGCTTTTTCACTTTTTTGATAGTGTTCTTTAATGTACAAGTTTTTCATTTTGATGAAGTCTACATTATGTATTTTTTTCTTTGGTTGCTCATACTTTTCACATCTTATAAGAAACCATACCCTAAACCAGGATCAGAAGCATTATGTTTTCTTCTAAGGGTTTTAGATTTAGCTCTTGTGTTTAGATATCTGATCCATTTTGAGTAATTTTTATATGTGGTATGAGGTAGGAGTCCATTTTTATTATGCTCTATGTAGATATCCTGTTGTCCCAGCACCATTTCCTGAAAAGTTTAATCTATCTCCATTGAATGGTCTTCACACTCTTGTCAAAAATCAGTTGAGACAAGGCCCAGTGGCTCACACCTGTAATCCTAGCACTTTGGGAAGCTGAGGTGGGAGCATCAGTGGAGCCCAGGAATTTGAGACCAGCCTGGACAGTCTAGTGGAGACCCTCATTTCCAAAAAATGAAAATCAGTTTGACCGTATTTTGTGGGCTTATTTCTAGACTCTCACTTCTATTACATCAATCTACTGTGTAGAGTCCCTTATATTTCCATATGAATTTTAAGTTATTTTCATGTGTTTCTGCCAAAATGGTTGGAATTGAATCTGCATTGAATCTGTAGATCAGTTTGGGAAGCATTTTGCCATCGTAAGCAAGTTTTCCAGTTTGTGAACACAAGGTGTCTTTCCATAACTTTAAGTCTTCTTTAGTTTCATTCAACAATGTTTTATAGTTTTTAGTGTACAAGTCTTGCACTTATGTTAAATGTATTCCTCAGTATTGTTATGTGAATGGAGCTATTTTCTCTGTTTTCACACTGTCCATTGCTAACATTTGGAAATACTACAGTTTTGCATATCAGTCTTAGATTTCTCAAGCTTGCTGAGTTATTTGCTTTAGTAGCTTTTTGGTTATTCTTCTTTTCTGTGTATATGATCATGTCACCTGCAGGTAGAGATGGACTTACATCTTCTATTCCAGTAAGGGTGCCTTTTATTTCTTTTTTTCCTGATTGCCCTGACTAGAACCTCAAGTAAGTGCTGAATTAAAGAGATGAGATCTTTGTCTTTTTCTCTATCATGGGGAAAGCCAGTCTTTGAGCACTGAGTGTGATGTTAGCTGTGGGTGTTTTGTAGATGCCTTTTATAAGCTTGAGGAAGTTCCCTTCTGTTCTGTTTTCTGGGTATTTTTATCATGAAAGGATGTTGGATTTTTTTCAAATGGCTTTTTCTGTGTCCCCTGAGATGATTGTGTTTTTTTCCTTCATTCATTCTTTGAATGTGGTATATATCACATTGATTAGTTTTATTTGTATTGATTTTTTTGTTTTCCATGTTGAACCACTATTATTGCTGGGATAAATCCCACTTGGTCATGATGGATAATCCTTTTAATCCGCTGCTAGAGTTGGGTTGCTCATCTTTGTTGAGGATGTTTGCATCTGTATCATGAAGCACATGGGTCTGAAGTTTCCTTGCTATGTCTTGTACTTTGCTGATGTAACAGTGAAGTGATGTAACTGCCGTGGAAACAGTTTGATGGTTCCACAAAAAGTAAGCTTAACGTTACCATGTGACCAGCATTTCCACTCCCTGGTGTACACCCAGAAGTATTGATACAAACACATACCTGTTGGGAAATGTTTGTAGCAGGACTGTTTGCAATTACCAAGATGTGGAAACAACACAAATGAACGGAAAAACAAAAGGTTTATGTTGTTATGTGCAATGGAATATGATTCAGTTATTAAAGAGAATGAAGTGCTGACACAGGCTTCAACATGGATAAACCTTGAAAACACTGTGCCAGGTGAAGGCAGCCAGATTCAAAAGGTCACATGATGTACAATTCAGTTTGAATGAAATGTGCACAACAGGTCAATCCCCAGAGACAGAAGGCAGACTGCAGGTTCACAGGGGCTGGAGGCGGGAGGGGTTCAGAGCGACTGCTTTTGGGGCAGATTGTGCCACATTGTGAATGAATCAAATGTCCTACAGTGTGCATTTTTTAATGGTTAGTTTTAGGTTATGTGAAGTTTGCTTCAATTGAAAAAGATACACGTTTTGGTTTTCCATCTTCTCACAGGTCCGAGGAGGCAAACAAAGCCTTCTCTGCAGCTGTGCAGATGCACGACGTGCTGGTGAAAGCCTGGGCCATGTGGGGTGACTACCTGGAGAACATCTTCGTGAAGGAGCGGCAGCTGCACCTTGGCGTGTCTGCCATCACCTGTTACCTGCACGCGTGCCGGCATCAGAACGAGAGCAAATCAAGGAAATATTTAGCCAAGGTGAGACCAAAAGAACAAGCTTTGACCAGAGGCCATCGGTTGGTTTGGACCAAATTTTAGCTACAATTTACTCATCCATGCTGAGTGTGAGGCATGATTTCATGCCTTAAGTCTTAATGGTCATCACTCTTTGAAGCATCTTTCACAGTTCCATTTTAAAGCTGAGAAGACTGAGACTTGGACATTCTTAGGGCCCCAGAACTTCCGAGTGGCAAAATCTTGCCGGGAGCTCAAGTATAGCACTGCCTGTGAGAGCTCACACCCAGCAGTGGGCTGAGGAGGGGATCTGGGGCTGGGACTTCTCTGCTGGACGCCTTCCCCTGCAGGGCTGCCATTTGTACAGCCACAGAGCCTGCATGCTGGGTGGTTGGGGTTTTCTTTCTGCACGGTGCCCCTGGCATCCCTGAGCTCAGGGTGGGTGTCCCCACCTGCTCACTGAAGGAAATGCACTTGACATTGAGGTTCCTCTTTCATGTTGCTTCCTGTCTTCCCCCAAGAAGCAGACAAAATCCAGAATTATGTCCAGCAGGTAACCTAAGAATAAATTGTTTCCTTTCTTATTTTGTCCATTAAAGGTTTGGATATTTTAGAATTCCTCAATTTAAGTAAAAATCTGGAATGTACACCAGCACATGGCAGTTAAAGCTGACTGCAGAGACAGCTACACATACACTGCCTCAGTGCCTGGCTCCAGGTTGCTTATACCCAGCTGTAATTGTTTCAGTCGTCCGTGGACACCTGGCTGTCAGTGTGTGGCCTACCTGATGGCAGGGTGATGAGCATCTGAGATTTTTCGCAAAAGTTCATTTTGTTTGGATGAGATCATGAGTGTGAGCTAGCAGGTGGGCAGCCTCCAGCCATCTGCTTGTTGCTGTCTTGCGGTCACTGGTCACTGCTAGCCAGTAGATTAGATCAGTGAGTAATTGTCACTAAAACTAAATCAAGAGGCTAGGAGTGGTGGCTCACACCTGTAATCCGAGCACTTTGGGAGGCCGAGGTGGGTGGGTCACTTGATGTCAGGAGTTCAAGACCAGCCCAGCCAACATGGCAAAACCCTATCTCTACTAAAATATAAAAATTAGCCTGGCATGTTGGTGTGCACCTGTAATCCCAGCTACTGGACAGGCTGAGGCAGCAGAATCGCTTGAACCTGAGAGGTGGAGGTTGCAATGAGCGAAAATCTCACCACTACCCTCCAGCCTGGGCAACAAATCAAGACTATCTCAAAAAAAAAAAAAAAAAGAAAAAACTAAAGAGAAAATCTCTATTTAAATTTTAGATTATATATGCTGTAAGATTTATGTTAAGTTTAGCAATAATGTTGGCCCTCTAAGGCTATTTTGTTATATGGCCAGTGAAGCTGCTCTATACAGTGTTGTCATGTTGGGGAAAAAGTTGCTTGCTTGAGGACTTCAGAATTGTCATTCAACTCTAGAATTTCTCCTCCTGTCTCAGGTGCTGTGGCTTTTGAGTTTTGATGACGACAAAAACACTTTGGCAGATGCTGTTGACAAGTACTGCATTGGCGTGCCACCCATCCAGTGGCTGGCCTGGATCCCACAGCTGCTCACCTGCCTGGTTGGCTCAGAGGGAAAGCTGCTCTTGAACCTCATTAGCCAGGTGGGAAGAACAGGGTGGTCTTGTTCACAGACACAAAACATTGTGTCTTCGTCTGTCATTCTTTTTTATCCCAGAAAGTAAATTTGAGTGCTCAAAGTATTAAAAATAAGTTAAAGAGATGGGAAGACGTAATCATCTATATATTACTTAATATAGAGCATAATTAAAAGTTATTAAATCATAGTTGAAATGAGATAGCTAATACAGCAGTTTAGTGTTAAAATCGTAATTTCTTAAACATTTTTCCATAAATAATGCAAGTAAAATAAACTTCTGTTAAAATGTACAACTGCCAGTTGGTATGCTGAGAAAGACGGTGAACCCTGTATCTGATTGGTAGTTTTCCTCTGATTTTTTGTCGTGTGCTGGGTGCCCTTTGGAGCTGCCCGTAAACTAAAACGTGCACGTGATTGTGGCTGTTGCCCTTTTTTCAGTTGAGCTGTATCGTCAGGAACCCACGGTTCTCGAGGGGCAGGGCTGGGGAAGTAGACAGGCCAGGGCCCTCTGGAAAGGCTCTCATAACCATCTCTTGAGAATGGTTCCAGAAAGTCCCTCACCTCTGTAAAGATCCAGGTATAGTGGAAGGACCAGAAATGGCGGAAGTGCAGCTACAGCGAGGTTTGGGACACAGCAGCTTTGTGGTAGCTTTTAAAATCACAAAGTGCTGCAGGAGTCCATAAAGGTCTTTAGGAAGGAGCTGTGCCCGCGTGCTCCGCCCACTCATTCCTCCAGCCCCTTCCTGTGCGCAGCACCTGTGCTGTGTGGGCCCTGAATGATGCCCTGGTTTCCTTGAGGAGGCAGCTGTGTGTTTGACCCGAGCGTTCTGTGTAGCGTTTATCCTTAGGATGTAGATCCCATCTACTTGGTCCTGTCACTCATGGAACTTCTTGGGTACAGGAGCAGCTGCCTGGGCCTGTCACAGCTCAGATGTTATTCCTTTCTTATTTCACGGGCACATTCTGAAGGATCCAAGTGACATGGTACTGTCCTGTCAGCCACAGCACTCCAGTTCAGTAAAACTGGAGTTTCTTAACTGAATATCCCTGCATCTCCTCCCAGCTGCAGTTATGCAGAATAAAGTTATTTAATAATGAAATTAGTTCACAGTCCACAGTGAATTGTGCCTGGCAGAAAGATTAACTGGTATTTGTATGTTTTTTATTTGCCTCTGTGAGATCTGGGGACACATGCACTTTGCCTTCCTCAGATTTACTGCCTGGAAGGAAAGCATGTTTCCCTGTCACTCACAGTTCCTAGGTAGAGTTGATGAGATGCATGTGTTGATGTGGTTTGGCTCTTTTAAAGTGAATTAAGTATTTTGCTGCCGTTGAACCTGGCCTTGTGCGTCAGATTCGTGCTACGGTATTTGCTTCCTTGGTCCAAAGGCAGATCAGAAACCTGTTTCTCACTTGACATTGGTTATTTTCAGTACAAATTATCCAGAGCTCATTGTAGAGCAGCGCTGTTTATAACGTCTTGTCTCTGAGCAGGTTGGACGCGTGTATCCCCAAGCGGTCTACTTTCCCATCCGGACCCTATACCTGACCCTGAAAATAGAACAGCGGGAACGCTACAAGAGCGGTACGTCTTGGGTGAGGCCCACAGGCCAGGCCGGGAAGGGCTTGTTCCAGGGGGCGCCCCACATCCAGACAGACTACCACGGCCACCCCCTGCCCTGCAGCTCACTCCTAGCTGTGGCCAGTCTCTCCTCAGTGGGCAGCGCTGTAGGGCAGGAAGCAAAGCCTGATCTGTGTCAAGTCTCTCCTTTGCCAGGATGTAACAGGCATTCATTTATGTGAGCAATTTGATCCAGAGATAGAAAAAATATGTGAAATTTTCAGCTTCAGAAAATTGTAACGTTCACCTTCCTTCTTAGTAGTAAGTGCATCCTGATATGCACCACAGATGCCAGGTGCCGTGTGTGTTTGTGTGTGTGTGTGAGAGAGAGAGAGAGAGAGAGAGAGAAAGAGAGAGAGAGAGAGATGAGGAGTAACTTCAGCTGTGAAAAGAATCAGCATTGAAGTCAGTCTTACCGGATGTTGGTGAAATTTCACTCACAGTGTAAGACTTTTAATCTCTATTGAATAGCCCTCATATGCAAAGAAACAACTGATTTGGTGGTTTCAGTTACCCACTAAGCACGGTACTTTAAATAATGAGAGGACTGTTGACTGTCCTTGTTTTCAAGGCTGAGTCTCCTAAGGGCCGTGGACCGTGCTTGGTTGGTGAGAGGCGGTGGATGGGGACTGCGTGGCATATTTCAGCTCTGTCTTCTGGGGAGTCAGTCTCATTTGAAAATTAAGGTTTTTTTAGTTTTAAGACTAACTATAGAGAGGTAAATTCAGAAAAAAATGGGCATTAAAGGTTCTACAATGTATCTCACAGGGAAAAATGACTGTATTTTTCAAAAGCAGTATTGGTTTGGTTTCCCAAACCTATTTCCTATTAAGTGCTTTTAGGTTCTCTGAGTTTATGGTAGCAAGGAACGTGTAACATACTGTGAGGTATTTTTCCAAACATTTATGTTTAGGATGATCAGACATAACAGGTTAAAAAGAGTGCTCGGGGAACCTTTGTGTACCCTCACCTGGACTCACCAGGCGGCATGTTGTCACACCCGCTTTCTCCTGAAACACATACACGGGTGTATTTAATGGAACGGATTGAAGTCGTGTTGTAGACACTTGGGCTGTCCGTCCCCGTGTCCCTCAGCGCACCTGCGCCTAGAACCAGGGCCTTCTCCCACGCAGTCCCTGGGGAAGTGGTCTTGTGAGGATTTACACGCCAGCAGGAACCAGCACTCCTTTGGCCCGTGGGTCCTGCAGCGCTCCGAGCCCTGGCGTCTGTCGGTTTTGCGCTGACACTGGCGTTGTGTGTGTTGCTCTCAGATTCTGGACAGCAGCAGCCAAGTTCAGTGGGTAACCAGTCCCATTCTGCATCAGATCCAGGGCCCATAAGAGCAACAGCACCCATGTGGCGCTGCAGCCGAATCATGCACATGCAGCGAGAGCTCCACCCCACCCTTCTGTCTTCCCTGGAAGGCATCGTCGATCAGATGGTCTGGTTCAGAGAAAATTGGCATGAAGAGGTATTTGGCTCTGATCTTGCACATGCTAGCTCCTTGTAGAGGGGACGTGTTGTTCTTTCTGCTTCTGTGGCTCTCTTACCTTGATGTTTGGCTGCCTGGTCCTTTTATATATTTGTTGTCAAACTTAACCATGGACCAGGCAAAGAGCTATCTCCGCGCATTAGTACAGCCTTAAAGATTCAAAGCAGAAGACACACGAGAGGGTGGAATTGAGGAAGCCACTTCTTGCTGTTAAAATGCTGGCCGTGCTCACTTCTCTGTGCTCAGTGACCTGAGTGCCACTGATAACCAGGTGTAAGTAGGAGCGGTGGCGTGAGTAACAGGGTTATAATTTCCAGACATGGGAAACTGTAGGTATGTGGGGTTGTTTGATAATGATAGTAGACCGCTTCCTTAATATTACGCTGGCTTAAGCTGATGACAAAACAGTCCACGCCTCACTGCCCGGATGCTTACCTGGTTGAGCCCCGGGGCCAGCTCCATGCTGCTGTGGAAGTCTCATGTGTGCACAGACACGCAGTGGGAACGGTATGGCTACCTGAAAATACGAGGATTTTATGGCGAATCGCAGATGGGTGTATGATCCAGAAATGTGGGACTTTTCTGTTTTTGTTTTTTTTAATGTTCAAGGCCCTTACTCCCCAAAGGCAAAAGCGCCTGCTCCCACGTGGCACACAGGCATCCCATCTCTTGCACACACTGATTTCATGTCTGCTGTGTTCGGGTCCTGGGGGTGGTGCAGAGATGACCCAGGCTGGGAGGGCCACACTTAACAGGTGCTTTTGGCTGCTGGTCCTGGAGTGGTGGGCTCTGTTTATCAGTTCTCTCTGGCTCTTTTCTACCAGGTTCTCAGGCAACTCCAGCAGGGCCTGGCGAAATGTTACTCCGTGGCGTTCGAGAAAAGCGGAGCAGTGTCTGATGCTAAAATCACCCCCCACACTCTCAATTTTGTCAAGAAGTTGGTGAGCACGTTTGGGGTAGGCCTGGAGAACGTGTCCAACGTCTCAACCATGTTCTCCAGCGCGGCCTCTGAATCTCTGGCCAGGCGGGCGCAGGCCACTGCACAAGACCCTGTCTTTCAGAAGCTGAAAGGCCAGTTCACAACGGGTGAGTCTTGATTTTCCTTCCCTGTCCATTGGGAGAGTTCTGCATGCTGATTTCCTCGTCTTCAGCGTCAAAGCTGATTGTATAGTTGGTTTTCTGATCGCTGCACTGGGCACACTGGTTACACTCTGTTTACAACGCAGACTTCAGAGCACATAGCTGAGACCACACATTTTTCTCCCTAGTGAGGGGTTCAGGTGTGGAGCAGAAGCTGCCAGGATCCAAAATGGGATAGAAAATGCATGGTTTCAGGCCACACTGCCCTCCTGCCTTTCTGAGACCCTTCCTTCACTTGCTTTTGGCGGGAAACAGTGTAGGATGGGGTGGTGGGAGACAGTGTTGGTGTGAACCAGGAGGAGGCGGAGTCTCAGTGAGCCAGTGGGAGATGGGGTCTGGTAAGCCAGTGGGAGACGGCGCTGGGTGGGGTAATGGGAGACAGTGTTAGTGAGCCAGTAGGAGATGGTGTCTGGTAGGCTGCTGACAGACAGGGTCCGGTGGGCCCATGGGAGACGTTCCCCGGTGAGCCGGTGGGAGACGGGTCCGGGTGAGCCTGTAGGATTTGCAGGGACAGGGCCCACAGTGACAAGCTAAGTGCAAGCCCACTGTGGATTTGGGCATCATGGTAGGGAGATGCATTTTCAGTGCTTGTCTGTAGTTCAGGTTAATGCGTTTTCCTAGACCCACAGGAGCTTAGCTCCTGGCTTTGCCTCTTATGTCGTGATGTGAGGGAAAGGAGTCTAATTTCCTTCAGCCCAGAGGGATCATCACCCCGTTCCATCATATGCACGTCCCGTCCATCCATCCCACCTACTCCCCTGCATCCCATCATCCCCATGTCCCATCTACTTACCCTCGTCCCATCTTACACACCCACATCCCATTTATACACGTCCCATCGTATGCACCTGTGTCCCATCTATACACCCCCATTCCATCTAACCGCATCCCATCCACGCACCCCCATCCGGTCGTATACCCCATCCACTCACCTGTGTCCCATCATCCTCGTCCCATCTACATAGCTGTGTCCCATCTACTTACCTCATCCCATCATACATGCCCACATCCCATTTACACACACGTGTCCCAGTGTACCCACCCATGTCTCATCTACGCACCTGCGTCCCATCATATACACCCACGCCCACCGCTGTGTGCACAGGCACAGCTGCTTCTCGTGCCGCCTGGACCACATTGCTTCTTACTCGTCACTCAGCCTCTGTCCCACTGACCTGAAGGCACCCTAGCAGGGAGTGTGTGGCGGGCTCTCTTGCCAGCTCTCACTGAGAGCTCCTGTGCCAGGATGTGACTTCAGCCACCTGAGTAGCTTCCGTAGCCTTTCACCTCTTGAGCGTCAGCACATGAGTGATTGTCATGTGAAACGAGATTTGTCTGGTTACACTTTCCCAGAGGTGAAAGAAACATTGAATCATTCACATTTACAAGCTTAATTACTGCTTTTTTAAAATAGCAGAACAAACATTTTAATTTTCATTTCTTATCTTCAACTTATTCTTTATTTTTTTTTTTTTTGAGACGGAGTTTTCGCTCTTGTTACCCAGGCTGGAGTGCAATGGCGCGATCTCGGCTCACCGCAACGTCCGCCTCCTGGGTTCAGGCAATTCTCCTGCCTCAGCCTCCTGAGCAGCTGGGACTACAGGCACGCGCCACCATGCCCAGCTAATTTTTTGTATTTTTAGTAGAGACGGGGTTTCACCATGTTGACCAGGATGGTCTTGATCTCTTGACCTCGTGATCCACCCGCCTCGGCCTCCCAAAGTGCTGGGATTACAGGCTTGAGCCACCGCGCCCGGCCTCAACTTATTCTTTAAATTAACTTCAGTTTTATACAAAACATCCCAAATGGCAGTCCATGAAACTATCTGGTTTAAACAAAATATGGGCCCTAAAACCTAAGCTCAGTCACTAGCCCAGGTAAAAGGAAGAGATGCTGTTCTGTGACCTTTTTCCTTTTAAGAATATATGCCAAACAATTTTAAAATATGATTAGTTGCCTTGGTAACAGCACAAGAAGCAGCAACTCTGTCCTAATTGTAAGATAAGTTTAAATCTGATTTTTATTTTTAAGATGAAGCATCCTCTTTGACAACCCAGAAACAGAGTCTTTGCTGACTCTTTGGACACACACCTAAAACAGTTAAAAGTGATGCCTCAATTTTCAATAACAAAGTAGAAAAGAATATGTTCTTGCTGATCGTGGTGGCTCACGCCTGTAATCCCAGCACTTTCAGAGGCCGAGATGGGCGGGACACTTGAGGTCAAGGGTTCGAGACCAGCCTGGCCATCATGTTGAAACCCAGTCTCTCCTAAAAATACAAAAATTAGCTGGGTTTGGTGACACACGCCTGTCATCCCAGCTACTCGGGAGGCTGAAGTGGGAGGATTGCTTGAACCTGGGAGGCAGAGGTTGTAGTGAGCCAAGATCCCACCACTGCACTCTAAGAGCCTGGTGACAAAGTGAGATTGTCTCAAAAAAGATGTTCTCAAGCTGCAGTTCAGTTTTTCTATCCTCTTCTCCAAAAAATCTTATTTTACTACCAAGCCACTCACCAAACTAAAAGGAAAGACAATTTTTCAAAAAAAAACAACAAAACCCAGAAAAAGAAACAGGTACTATCACCCAAAAGACTGCTGTTGCATAAATAAATAGATAGACAGACAGACAGACAGACAGACAGATAGATAGATAGATAGATAGATAGATAGATAGATAGATAGATAGATAGATAGTGGGAAGCCAAATTCCCCTAGCTTGTTAGACATCTTTAAAAAGAATTCAGAAAGTTAAGAGTAGAACTCTAGTGGTAAAGGTAGGTTCAGAGTGCAGATAATTCAGGAACATTCAGCTTGGAAATACATTAGGCTTTCTCCTAGTCCATCAGAGGAAATAAAAACGTGTTGCTGGAATTAATATTAAAATTGTCCCTACACACAGAAGGTAAAAAGAGAGAACATGGAATAAAAGTAGCAAAGACAAGTCCCCTTGAATCTAGGCTCTACTGCCCAGGAAAGTCGACTAGAACTTAGATTCTTCCTGAACCAGTATCACTAGATTCTAGATTTGGCCTGAAACCAGTGGACCACATATTCCATAATAAATATCAAGTGACCCACAGTGTTTGTGGTATTAAAAATTTTCTTTAAGGCCGGGCGCGGTGGCTCAAGCCTGTAATCCCAGCACTTTGGGAGGCCGAGGCGGGTGGATCACGAGGTCAACAGATTGAGACCATCCTGGTCAACACGGTGAAACCCCGTCTCTACTAAAACTACAAAAAATTAGCTGGGCATGGTGGCACGTATCTGTAATCCCAGCTACTCAGGAGGCTGAGGCAGGAGAATTGCCTGAACCCAGGAGGCGGAGGTTGCGGTGAGCTGAGATTGCGCCATTGCACTCCAGCCTGGGTAACAAGAGCAAAAAACTCCGTCTCAAAAAAAAAAAAAAAAAAAAAATTTCTTTAATTATTATATGTAAAAACTTATCTATTCTGAAAAGCAGTAGGTCAAAATGACACTGGACCATCCAGTTGGTTACAGAGTAAAGGGCTCCCTCCAAAGGGGACTGACTTGGCTGAAGCCTAGGCTGGAAGGAATGTGAGTAACACGGAATAAATGAGATCAGGCTCTCAGCATCATTTCCATAAGGCTTTTCTACCCACCCCAGTTATAAGGAGTTGTACCCAGGGAGATCCAACAGAATGTCTTAGAGGGATGCTTCCCAGAGACAAAAGGGGGGCTCTAAGTTTAACTCTTGACCCCTCTTCTTCTTACTTAAAACTTGGGGAAGAAAATAAATATTTAATTTTTAACTTTTCAGAGCTTTGGGCACATTATAATATTTAATATTCTGTAGTTTCATTTTCTGAACCTTTGGCTTATAATTTCTCAACTTATATTAAAAAAATTTTCTTCATTATTTATATGGAAAAAAGAAAAAAAAATGGGTGAACGCACCTTAACAAGTAGTGCCACATGAAAATATAAGCCTTGTTCTTCCATATCTTCTACACGGGAAGAGTGAATGAATAGTACTGTAAATATCCTGCAAGCTTACTTTGTGTACTTGGCAAAACATAAGGGAAAACCAATCCACCTCCATATCTTGAGCAGTAGTTAACTAGTCTTCAATCTCATCTTCCCAAATATTTCCATTCACATCCAAGCATGAAGCAGCTGGTTACAACACAGTGAAGCAGGGTTGGTGAAATGTTAAGGGTTTGCTAGAGAGAGAACCCATGCCAACCCAACAGAAATACTGCATACAGCCAGTACATGGCATCCTGTTACATCCATCTAACTTCTCTGTGGGAGTTCCACAGCATGGCACCTCTTTGAGTTCTCGTCCAGCAACTCCTCACTTTCCATCTCTTCCGGTACGTTCTGAGTCACCCTCTTACCTTACCTCTGTTTCAGAAATCTTTTATTGGCCTCATCGGCTTTCAGGTATTCATTTTGTAAGTCTGTTAATTCCTCCGTGGTCACCTTACATGGAGAGGCCCCATGGTAGGTCAGTCTGCACAAGTTACCAAAGGCAAAATTGCAGCTGGAGGAGATGCCCGTGGTACAGCCAGGCCCCTGCATTACAGGCAGCTGGTCACACGGGTAGGGGCAGCACACCACATCTGCCACCAGGTCCAAGGTGGACAGGAGATGGAGGCAGCCATGACAGGCAGGTAACTCTGCTTCCACTGGCTCTTCGACCTGACCAGGAGTGGCCGCCAAAGGGCACTTCAATTCTGGGCAGTTGATGCATTGAACCTGGCCATCTCTGATCTTCCTTTTTTTTTTTTTTTTTTTTTTTTTTTTTTTTTTTT